ACTGATAGACTGCAACGGTTAAAGTTAAAAATCATCATATGTGTTCTACTGAAGAAACAGTCACCTACATCTTGGATGTCCTGGGGGTAAGCAGATAAACATAAAATTTTCATTTTTGGGTGAACTATCCCTTTAAGTGTCCACATACTTTTGGTGCCCACATGTAGTTTTCCTTTGGTTATATAACGCCGTACCTTACTGTTTGCCACCCCTTCAGGTTCCCGATGGAAGTCCATGTCCAATCAGGAGAAGCAGCCGTACTACGAAGAGCAGGCCAGATTGAGTCGGCAGCACCTGGAACGTTACCCAGACTACAAATACAAACCCCGGCCGAAGCGGACCTGTATCGTAGAGGGCAGACGACTGCGGGTCGGAGAGTACAAGGCCATGATGAAGAGTCGGCGACAGGAGCAACGAGTAACTTACCCTCCAAGGTGATGCCTGCAGACACTCAACAAGTTTTCTTTTTTCAGTGGTGCATTTGGTTGGAGAATGCAGTCATCAGTCTTATAAAATAGCTGATGTTTGGTTTGACGTTTATTCACACAGCCAATCAGAGCAGCAGCTACCGTACCCTACCAGTGAAGGACAGTACCAGACCACGCCGGTGTCAATGGCCCCATTGCCCTTGTACCCTGCCCTCCTGGAGCACTACCTTCCTCGGAGTCTGGAGCCCATGAAAGGCCAAGGGAGTGAGATGCGGGAGGTCACGCGGCCCAGACAGCCCTACAGCGAAGGGGAGGAGAGTGATGCGGGTGAACGCAGTGAGGGAGAGCTGGTTGTCCTCACTGACTGAGATAGGAGGAAAGGATTGGAGGACAGAAAGGGCGGAAAACGCGAAAGAGGGGGAGTGAGATGGAGAAAATAACTGGGAGATTTTGCAGTCTCTACCTACAACATGATGGTGTCCAATAAATGGTATAGGTCAGTGTTTTCCAGTCCAGTTGTGAGGATGTCCTTGCAAACTAGTTTCAAACCTACCAGATTGGTCACATGGTTCTATAGGGTTGGTTAGGAAGGCAGCAAACATGGTAAATGAAGCATAGATCTAGATCTATTTTTCAGATTTTTCCAGTGGTGTAGGCCAGACAGGATAGGTCTTACATACTGACCACAGCTTGGAAAAAGCAAGACTTTTTCAATCTACAATATTCATTGTGAGACTGCACATCTTGAGAGTTTTGAAGGCACTGTGAAGCTGGTGTGCAAGAATTGTTTTACAAATCATCAAATGTCACTGCACATATTATGAAGTAAATGTTATCTGCAAAGTGCATAAGAAATTGCACAAGAATCGGCTTTTCTAGAAGGGGTACAGATACGTATATTCACTTTTGGTGTATCTGAAAAAGTTCTACATTTGACATCATGTCAAATGATTGGCAATAATAGGAAGGAACAGTTCATCCAAAAATGAAAAGGAGATTAGGGTGAGTAAACAATGAAAATTTTTTTTGATGAACTATTTCTTTAAATAGTCAATGCACTGAGAGCTCTGCATCATTTTGCCATAGAAAAAAGCTAATACCTCTGTGTTATAATGCTTCTTGATGTCACCAGGGTTTTCCTGCAAAAGTTCCTGTTAAGACTGTGCCAAGGTACTTTCCAGAGCTCAAGGGCTGAGCAAAAAAGAAAAAGAAAACAAGTGGACTTGGAAAAAGGAAGGAACATTCCTGAACTCCTTGTCCAGTTTATTATACTAGATAATGACGATTAGAGGCTGTTCTGCTACAGAGATTTAAGCAGCCTGCCCCTTTAAGACTCGCTAAGTGCAGCGAAGGTTGGTGGCGTCCTCTGCTGTTTGAATATGGGTACTGCACTTAAAATATTTCCCCAGGTCAAAATCATATTTTTGTTTCTTTTGATTTAGTGCAGAATAATCACTTGAAATGCACTTTCCCCATCTAATATATTTTTTTCATATTTGCAATCCCTACCTACAACATGATGGTGTCCAATAAATGGTATAGGTCAGTGTTTTCCAGTCCAGTTGTGAGGATGTCCTTGCAAACTAGTTTCAAACCTACCAGATTGGTCACATGGTTCTATAGGGTTGGTTAGGAAGGCAGCAAACATGGTAAATGAAGCATAGATCTAGATCTATTTTTCAGATTTTTCCAGTGGTGTAGGCCAGACAGGATAGGTCTTACATACTGACCACAGCTTGGAAAAAGCAAGACTTTTTCAATCTACAATATTCATTGTGAGACTGCACATCTTGAGAGTTTTGAAGGCACTGTGAAGCTGGTGTGCAAGAATTGTTTTACAAATCATCAAATGTCACTGCACATATTATGAAGTAAATGTTATCTGCAAAGTGCATAAGAAATTGCACAAGAATCGGCTTTTCTAGAAGGGGTACAGATACGTATATTCACTTTTGGTGTATCTGAAAAAGTTCTACATTTGACATCATGTCAAATGATTGGCAATAATAGGAAGGAACAGTTCATCCAAAAATGAAAAGGAGATTAGGGTGAGTAAACAATGAAAATTTTTTTTGATGAACTATTTCTTTAAATAGTCAATGCACTGAGAGCTCTGCATCATTTTGCCATAGAAAAAAGCTAATACCTCTGTGTTATAATGCTTCTTGATGTCACCAGGGTTTTCCTGCAAAAGTTCCTGTTAAGACTGTGCCAAGGTACTTTCCAAAGCTCAAGGGCTGAGCAAAAAAAAAAAGAAAACTAGTCAACATGGAAAAAGGAAGGAACATTCCTGAGCTCCTTGTCCAGTTTATTATATCAGAAAATGACGATTAGAGGCTGTTCTGTTACAGAGATTTAAGCAGCTTGCCCCTTTAAAGATTTGCTAAAGGCAGAGAAGACTAGTCTTTCTTCGGGTTGGTTGCGTCCTCTGCTGTTTGAATCTGGGTACTGCACTTAAAATATTCCCATAGATTAAAGTCGTTTTTGTTTCTTTTGATTTAGTGCAAAATATGATTCAGAACAATTTTTTTTTTTCGAGGTACATATGCAAATCATTTCTACTATCCATTTTGTGAAAGGAAATGTGAATAATGCCCTTCTCTCAAATTACACCCATTTTTAAAAGTTTGGTTTACTTTTCTTTTTTTTGTTTTTGTTTCTTTTGATTTAGTGCAAAATATGATTCAGAACAATTTTTTTTTTCAGAGTAGAAGTTAGAATTTTGCACTTGATGTACATATGCAAATCATTTCTACTATCCATTTTGTGAAAGGAAATGTGAATAATGCCCTTCTCTCAAATTACACCCATTTTTAAAAGTTTGGTTTACTTTTCTTTTTTTTAGTGTGTGTGTGTGTGTGTGTGTGTGTGTGTATAGAGTGAGCTTGTGCTGAAGAAAATAGCTGCGTTATCATTCCAGCAGTTCTTATGACCGGGTCCATATTATCGGGCTGCTAGTCAATTTACAGTTGCGCTGAAATGTAAACATTTTGTTAAAAATGATAAACTTTTATATTTGAAAGAGGTGATTTTAGAAGATATTTGCCAGTTGACTGTTGTGATAAACCTAACATGTTAAAGGAAATGATGACATGTATATAGCTGGATACAGAAATATACGGTTTGTATTTTATCTGTAGAATGAACCCCAGGGAGGAAAAATATGAATCGCAATCTGGACAACTGTTGCAGCACTTAAAATATTCCCATAGATTAAAGTCATATGTTTTTGTTTCTTTTGATTTAGTGCAAAATATGATTCAGAACAATTTTTTTTTTCAGAGTAGAATTTAGAATTTTGCACTTGATGTACATATGCAAATCATTTCTACTATCCATTTTGTGAAAGGAAATGTGAATAATGCCCTTCTCTCAAATTACACCCATTTTTAAAAGTTTGGTTTACTTTTCTTTTTTTTAGTGTGTGTGTGTGTGTGTGTGTGTGTGTGTATAGAGTGAGCTTGTGCTGAAGAAAATAGCTGCGTTATCATTCCAGCAGTTCTTATGACCGGGTCCATATTATCGGGCTGCTAGTCAATTTACAGTTGCGCTGAAATGTAAACATTTTGTTAAAAATGATAAACTTTTATATTTGAAAGAGGTGATTTTAGAAGATATTTGCCAGTTGACTGTTGTGATAAACCTAACATGTTAAAGGAAATGATGACATGTATATAGCTGGATACAGAAATATACGGTTTGTATTTTATCTGTAGAATGAACCCCAGGGAGGAAAAATATGAATCGCAATCTGGACAACTGTTGCAAAACCAGCTGTTGTAAAATATAGAGATAGACTTTATTTTGTTTATAAAAGCGTATAATTTAAAGGTGTACATGTTTTTTCCTCCCCCCTGTATGTTGCATTTTTCCCAAGCAAATTTTGTGGTTTGTTTTTGAAGCATAAATAAAAATGTTATGTTTAGGCTACTTCTGTGGTTCAGATTCATTTTTATATTTTTGGAGCAATCGGTGAATAACTGGATTCTGATTAGTGAAGTGCTAATTATTAATCCAAATCATAAACATTATCTGGCTATTTGACATCTGCAAGACGTCTATAGGACGATTCCTATCAGATGTCAAATAGACGTTTAAAAAAAAAAAAAGATGTTTATGATTTAGAATGTATGTAAAACTGACATCTTAAAGACGTCTATCAGATGTTTGTACACAGCAGATGCTTTCCAGATGAAGAGATCTTTAACAGACATCATAACAAAAACATGACATTGTATTTTGCATTTAAATGCTTATGTAGCGATACGACACTGGCACAACTAGGAAGTCGGTTGTTTGAGAAAATGGTAATTTACCTCATTCATACAAGCTGAATCTCTGAAGCGAGACGTGCAAAAAAAAAAAAACTAGCTCCAGCACATTAGCACTGAGGATGTTGTCCTGCATGTGTGTGCCTGCATTGTGCTTGTTTGATTCAGGATATCCTCAATAGCGCTCTTCCTGTGCCTACCGGGACATAATACAGGTCACCGTCCACAGGAGACAGGCAAAAGTTCAATGAGGAAACCTAAGTGTTGGACCGGGTGTGATACAGAAGACACTTTGGGTTACCAGAGGCCACGCTGATACACGCGAAATGGGCATTTATGCATATTACAGATTTATTAATATATCAAAGGAAAAAGGAAATCTGCGCACAATTAGATCCAACTTTGACATTTTAATGGAAAATGTGAATAATTATTAAATTATTCTCCGCACAGTTGAATAGAAGCCAAAACACTGTACAGTATTTTTCACAATATTTCACAGTATTTACAGACTCCACAGACTCCTTATCAGCGCGTTATAGTAACCGTGCTGGTCTTCAGCAAACACACTTTTTTGTGTTGGTTCATGCCAACCTAACAACCCAATACACTCCCAGTTCAGTTAAATATACAAAAAAGTAGAAATATTAAAGATATAAGGATAAATGAAACACTATCTGTACATTTCTTCAGTACATTCACAAAAGAACTGATCTCAAATAAAGCGCACACCGTGAAGCCGACTTGTTTGGTATGTTTTCAACATGGCAGCAAACGAAACAAGAATCCCAACACAGATGCTTCCTGTAAACATCCCTTTTAAGAGCAGAGGTTTAAAAAGGGACATTCACAAGGTCATTTCAAATAATAGAGATAAGAACGGGAATGGTGCTTGTAAACATTTCCCCCTTCACATTAGAAATGTCCTTCATATCATAAAAGAAAATTGATAACTAATATTTTACAAACAGAAGTGGTTTTCAAATTTATAACATTCTTCATGCATGTATGGAATATGCAACCTACTGTATATAAATATTTTTCACTTTTTCAGTCATCAGTCATCATGGACCACTAAGTGTCAAAGATATGTAAAAAAAGCATAACCTGACCTTGAAAGTTGAATCTTATGGAAACTGCCAAGAGCATATGCGGGCCATATTTCACCACAAAATCAAAAGAAAGATGTATGTGAATATGAAGTTTGTAGGACCTTTGTTTTTTTTGTTTTTAATGACAATCCCAGTAGCTTACTTTAATTCTAATACATTTAGCCTTTTCATTACTGTAATGCACATTAAATTGTATATCACATTTGTGAAATAGATTTAAATTTTTTAATTGATACTGATTTTAATTTATGTTCACACAGTATTTTTTTAACATTGCAAAAATGGGAATGTTTTTGCATTTTCTGCATTTTGCAAAACATTATTTCTTTTACTTTTAATTGTAGGGTGAAATTTCACATGGAAATGTTTTCTCAAGATTCACCTAAAAATTGCAATTCAAGTTTCAGATCCAAGCAGTGATGAGTGGACAAAACCAGAACAAAGTATATTAGCACAGAGCTATCAGGCAGTTCCAACTCATTAGAGAAACATTGGCTACAAATTATTCATGATTTTGTTGAAGGGCCTCTCGCTTTCAGTTGCTGCCTGTGGCTCCGAGCGTTTCATTATTAACCTGCTCCTGACACAGAGTCAGAGATTTCACAGTGACCCCACTGCTCAAACGCAACGGCTAGCTTCAGTTTCGAGACATTCTGAAAATGACTGCTGTACTGATTGTTTAGGGACTGATCTGGTCGGTCAGGAAAAT